ACAGATTGCCAAGTGACTGCAAATATGTCATAAAAACATATGTTTAAACAACTGAGAGACAAATATTTATACATAAACACATAGTTGTAAATGTTAACAGAGCAAGTTAAGAAGAGCAGAGCAGAGCAGAGCAGGGAGGGAGCGTACCCGGGCATAGAAGAGACATACCGCAGCATGCTTCTGGCCAGCGGGTAGCTTAGTTATTTAAGTGACAAATTCAATAGAACAATAAGTCAGCTTACTGTAAAACGGACGGCGCACTAGCAGCTCGTGCCCAGTCTTAAAGGCTATTAATGTTACGCATTAACAATATTATATATATTATATATACATAAATGAGTTCCTTTTAGCAATGGAAGAGTTATAAAATTGTATACATACGTATGTTGAAGATGTTCAGAACACGCGTGTTGAATATATATATATATACATAAATATATATATATAAATGTGTACTAACGCATATATGTGCTTATGTATGTTAAGCAGCTGGTATATATACACACACACAGACACATACAAACATAATAATAAAATTATACTTAAATGTTGGGCAATAAAATGTACTCTAGCGTATCTATGAAAACAATTGAAATGTTAAGGAATTACAAAACAAACAAACACAAACACACACACACACAGCTACTATGTTACGAATAAATAAACTTTGTGTGCTTACTGACAAAACTCACTTGAATGCAAATGCTGTAGACCAAGCGAAATCAGAAATTGAATATCTTTAAATTTGCCAGCGTTCAGCCATGAGCAATTGACCAATTAGAAAACGCCTTTGTTTCGCCGCAAAGTTTCTGATGGGCGAAATACTTTCCTATGCCGCGTCGAATTGCTTCCCATGGAAGACGAGCAAGACTTATAACAGAAGCATATTGCTGAAGTGACGATCAAGTATGCACACACACAAACACATACACAACAGAGACATACACACACACACAGACACCTTGGCAGCTGTACTGCACAGCGGCCAATCAGAGTGGACGCCATTTTGTTAAGGTTTGCGCGCTTCTTCTTAATCCCCCACTTCGCTGCCAATCGCCGCCATGTTTGAGTTTCCATTTAGCGTGATCTCATTTCGCATGCATTCAAATTGCAGGCGCGCCACACAAGCAGACGCACCAACCAACCACTCACTCCTCTATCCGAGTACTCAAAACAAAATAAATAAAAAATAAAAACCAAGCAACCGCAACAGCAACAACAAGTTAATACTATCAAGCTATACATGATTTTTCTCTTGGTTATTATGCACATATAAACACAATCCCTGTACACTAATGCCAAACTCTTTTTTATGTCTTTCAATACAACTTGTGACTATGGAAACTAACAAAAAAAAAAAAAAAAACAAACAAACAAATCGAACATAAAACTTTTTGTGTCTTGTTATTGATCAACTCGAAATAAACAAAATTGCAAACCAATCAAAATTGCAACTAAAAACTAAATGCAATTGAGGGAAAGCTTTCGAGTGCCGCTTAAAACTAGAGTAAAACATAAATGCCTCATGCTAAATGCCTCAATTGGGTGAGTTGCCTCCACGACACGAAAGTAATAATTCCCTTTTCTGTTGTTCAACTTATGTAATAGTAAAATAAAAACAAAAAACAAGTATTGAATTCTCGAGTAAATTTAACAACGCTTAAAAACGCTTTATTTCAAAAGCAAAGATTGTGCTATATATAGATATATTTGTATAACAATCCAATCCGATATATATGTACTTTGCTTTTTTCATTTTGTATAGCGCAATTAGCTAAAGATACAAGTGTTCGACTACCCTTTAAAGCCGTCTTTTGTTGCTTAGCCTTATGTTTATTTGTTTATATTCAAAATGAACCCAATTCACACAAATTGATTATGATTTGCCTGAATAAATACAGAGATATACAAAGCCCATAACATATCACACGCTCCAGACACAGCTCATCAGATAGAGATACATTTTTAATCTTAATTTGTCTATTTGAAACATTGGTATATTTAAGTTTTTTTTTTGTACAAAATTTGTAAAATTGTTGGAGCATGCTTTGAATTGTTTCATCTACTGCAATTGGCACCGCATTCAACATTCATTAAGCGTTCTTTATACATATATAAGAAGACACCAATCATAACATGGCTCATGCGTTTATTTATTATTCATTGCCATTGGCCATTTATTGATATAGGCGATTATCAAATTGAATTATATATTTTCAATTATGTTTCGACCAAGGATGCCGCCTCGACAGTGACGTCAGCTTAAATCCCATATAATTTCATTTGTTTGAGTTGTTCTGTGCATTGGCAATATTTAATCTATTTAATTTTTAATTTGCCGCCTTTTCAGCATTTTTCAATTGTTTGCATATTTGAATAGTTTGTTAAACCAGCAGCGAAACCACCAAAAAAAGAGTAAAACCACCAACCACACGAGCAGTGAACACTAGAGAAAAACTATTTCGAAAATTAAAATACAAATTTTTAATTAGTTGTCAAATTTGTTGTAATGAGAGTTTTAACATTATAAATGTTTCACATTAATTATGTATGCAATTTCCATATACATATATATGTTTTTGTATATATATATGTATTTATAAAAAGAAGTGCAAGTATAATTTGTGGACTAACCGCTTGGACATTTCGTTCGCAGGTAATTCCAATAGTCTAGCCCAGCTCGTTGACAACGAGATCCCCTTGGCCCAGATGGACATGCCGGCCTACACACAGCCAACGGCCACACAGACGCGTCAATTCCGGCACCACAAGCAGCGACAGCTGTCCAATGGCGCCTCGGCAGTCGAAGATCTGGCCTATGAGAATCAATTGGCCGCCGCCGGCAGCGAGGATGAGCTGGACAACACGGATGTTGTTGTGGTAGGCGGCACAGAGGTAGTCGCTGCGGTGGCTGCCATTGCGGCTTCCAGCAAGGCGCGTGAGATGCGCAACCGCAACCGCAGCGGCAGCTATAGCAATCTGTTTGACGTGGACTTTGATGCAGCTCTGGTCAACTCACCGCTGAGCGCCAACCATAAGCCCTCTGCGGGCGCTGCTCTACTGGCCGCTGCCATGAGCGGAGAACAGCATGCCCTGGCCAAGTCCGTCTCACAGACGGAGAACATGTACAGTAATGTGCCCCAAGTGGCCGTGTCGCCGTCCACAGATGCCGCCCTGCACGTCTACTCGAACATTATCGACGAGCAGGCACAGCAACAGCGGCAGCACAACGAGCGGATGCAAGCCTCGACGGTGCTGTCATCCACGCTGCTCAGTGACGATCTCGACCTGGACGATCCAGTGAGCGCATCGTTTGTGGGCGGCGGCAGTGGCGGGGGCGTGCACAGCCATGGACATGGGCATGGGCACGGCCCCCGCAAGGCTGGAGGCGATGGCGCCGAACAGGTCAAGTCAGCAGATCGGCTACGCATGCTGCACGACACGACTATGATTGATACAGCGCTCGATCTCGACAGCCTGGACGGGTCCAGCATGGGCAACAACTCGCAGTCGTGCTTGGTGAAGACGGCCAAGGCAACTTCCAACATCACTGGGGCGCCCATTGTCTAAATTACAGTTACCACTGTCATTAGTCGCGTATACCCTGTAAATAGCCAAGTTTTATCCAATATGCTTCAGCTTCTTTTAATTAGGCGATCCAGCAGCAGCCGGAGAGAGATAGTATTATAAGGCCTAATACTTGATCTGATTACGTTTATTTTTGTTGACATTTAGTTTAATGAGCGGACACTTCAAATATCAACCTATCAAGAAGCAACTAAAATATTACCTTAAGGCGTTACGCATTCATAAATATAAAGATATATATACAAGTTAAAGAAGATAACAAAAATTAAAGCAAACAAATACCGATACATATACAACAAAAAAAAAAAAAAACAAAAAGAAAACGTGGTGAACAATGTTAACAATTCAAATGCATTAAAAATGAATGAATAAATCCATACTATATTATTAAATGAAACTGTTTATACAATACACACACACCCACATACATTCATGTAAGGCAAAAGTATATACATATATTAAGACATATATATATATATACATATATATATGTATATGTGTTGTATATATATGGTTAGTTATTAGAATATATAATTTTTGTATATTTAAGTTTTTACAAATGGCAAACGACGAGCGTGTTTTCCGTTCTTCAGAGTTTATTACGATTTTTCTGTAATAGCAACAAATTTAAAACGGAAAATTCCATGCAATATATTTGGATGGAAAGCATGTTAAAACACACACTTGCATATATATATATAAATATATATATGTACAATAAATAATAAACTAATAAAAGGTACACCACAAGAGTTGTTAAGTGCATGCGAGACAAAGAGAAGTGCGGCGTATAACTGTTTATTTACATAATATATTATACTTACTATGTAATTCAAGTTAGGAATATGTGCGTGGTGTACAATGTTATCTGAACTTATAAGTCGAGGTAAAGAGTTTGACATGTTAAAAGAAAAAACAAAAACAAAACAAGAGTATGTTATGCGAAACTAATGAACTACAATTATACAAAGAATACAATTTATAAATAGAAAAAATGAAAATTCTTGAAGTTTTTACTGGCAAATTGGGTGGCTTACACAAAGTTCCAGAATTCCAAGGGGAAGTTACAGAAACTGACCAGTTTTGGCATAAAATAAAAACAAAGAGTGTACATATTTGTGTTTAATTTTTAGATTTTATTATTACGAAATTAGACTTGGATGTTATTGATCAGTTGATAAACACATATGCATATGCCCTAAGTATACAGAGTGCATTTTTGCATTTGAAGACATTCGCAGGTAAATTACAAAAATAATTATAGATGCTGTCTTTTTATCATTTAAATTACTATTTTGTGTTTTGCAGCATTGGAAAATCAATTTCTACATTTAAATATCATTTATGATAACCAGTCACTTCTCAAAACAAACTGAACTTGAATTTAAGATGATATTACTGGACAAATGGCATCGCATAGCAAAGTGTTTGGACAATTGTGTAAATATTTACATAAATATTAGAATATTCTATTCGAAAGCTGCCAAATAGTTATATATTTACCCGAATATTACATATTTAAATAACTAAAATATTTTTAAAAAATATTTGGCAAACTAAGTGTAATTTCGAGTTGCCAATTAAGTGCACGGAGCATGAGCAATTTAGCAAGGATTAGCATTAGATTAGAAATAAGCGCCTGCATTCCTTTTGGCCATGGAATCCAAGTATTATTATTACGATTTAATAAAAAAGGCAGAGCATTCGCTTAAATTTAACTCTCCGTCCCCTCCTCCCTCCATATGTATAGTTGTCTGTGAATTTGGGTGTGTGTAAGTTGTGTGCAAAGCAGCAGTAGAAATTGCAGTAATTTATCGTCGATAACGTCCCAAATATGCCTTGCAGTTGGGGCACGTGTGATGGACGTCCATGCAATCATCGATGCAACAAGGTATCAAGCAGCAGCCCAGCCAACAACTGTAATTAGAAAAGGTTTGATGTCAGCTAGATCTGGGATATATCAGTGAATACCTCTGGCGCACTTACCCTAGCAATGCGATTACAAAACCGGAAAGATAGGCAATCATGCCCGGTTCTGTACGTGTTGTTGACTCGATCTCTGCATGGCATGAGGGGCATATCATGTGTGTGGAAGTCCGTCCAATGGGCACCACTGTCGTCAATATATTTGTGCCCACGGTTGCAGGCGCCACAACTGGCGTGTATGGACCCACTGGCTTCACCCCGCCAACTGCCTCCAGATAGGACGGAGGCGCCGATGGCGGTGGAACGTATGTGAACGGCGGCGCATTGCCCGTAGACTTGCTCATATTGTCAATCGCCAAATAGTCCTATAAATGCACGTGATTGTAAGAGCTGCACGAAACAGAGCAAATCAAACAATTAGAAATGTAAGATAGAAAATTACCAGCATAGAATAACCCTAAACTGACAAATAAGCTAAAAATAGCGTGATGATTCACATACAGCTAGCCGGAGAGCGAGAGAGCACGGTCCACGGAATTTATGTGCCCGCATTTCGAAATATGTGCACGAAACATCAACAGAGAGCAAGGCCAGACGATTAATTGGCATAGTTATGGTTTGTTTGGAGAGCATAGACGAATTATACGCATACTCTGGGCATTATAAAGAATATTTATATAATCATTTACAATCTTACAGAAGGAAGCGTCATGTCTGCAAAAATACATGTGTTAATTGAGCGCTGCTCATGGAGCATTAAGCAATGCCTGTGACAATTTCAATTTAAATCACCATTGACGACATACAATGGACAATCATATATATATATATATAACTATGTGGGTATACCCACATTAATTTGTTTGTTGCGCTGACATGCGGCTACATCAATTAGACGCTTCGTCAATAATTGCCAACTTGTTGCGCTGATAGCAGCGGCAGACACGAGGATACAAATATACAAGTATGCACATCATTCTGATAATTACGTATATGAAGCAACGATGTCATGTGCTTGGTCGAAATCGAATGGGAAGTTAACAACAGTAACAACAACATTGCGGAGCTTAACTCGACTGTTGGAATGCAGCTTTCCCCACCCAAACAGAGACAGACTGTCAGCAAGTGGGCACAGAAACCGCGTCGCAACCACAACCGGAAGTATTTCAAACTCGAGCTTAGGAGACCGAACAAAATGGAAATTCAATCAACTGTCTGTCTAACGATCGCCAGTTTAAAGGGTATTTCCCAGCACAGCAACCGCAAAAGCTCGTTCAATTTGCTAATTCCACTAGACAAAAGTCGTAGGCTTGTAATTTCAGTCAAGTTACGCCTGATTTCTGTTTATTTGTTCTTCTGTTATTGACACTAAATTAAGACATAATTACTACAGAGGCCAGACACAACAAAAGTTTGAGCAAACATTTGTTTTCTCTCAAAATGATGTCATTGGGCGGACAACAAGTTGCAACTCTTGCAAGCTGCGTCATAGCAACACTAAGTAGAAGCCACTGTGCTTATTCCCATGGCATTCGAATACAGTTTGCGTGCAATTGTATCATAAAATTAAATATTATAATCAACATATGCTAACGTATTTTTGCCAACATTATAACAAATGGATTTTTCAAATTTTAATTATCTTAGAGCACCGTGGCAAAGCTGTTTTGTCAGGTTTCAAGTCATTTAACTGTATAAATAATAGCATTCACAAATCTATTTAAATAATATTTATTTTAAATTGTTGGAAGCACATTCGAGGAGTTGATTTAAACAGATGTTGCTGCTCTACCTACCAGATGACGTCGCTGTGCTATAATCGGAGAATATATAGCTAGTGTACATATAAATATACATATATTCATGTGTGTGTGTGTGTGTGTGTAGTATTTATGCTAAGTTGTTGTTGTGCAGCAAGCATATTTTTAGCAATATATACATACATACATAAACAGAAATATAGTTTTTATATGATGTAATCTAGTGAACTGTGTGTATACGCATTTAGGGTTCAATTATAATCAATGAAAATTAGATAGAATTTCACTTTTTTGCTTATCGAGCAAATAATCATTTAAATTAGATTCATACATATGTATATATGTACATCGAACGTTGCGCCTGTGTTGGTAAAGAAGCTACTTTTATTGCAAGACGAAAATTTAAAGCGAAATGTAATTTTTGCCTAAATAAAATAGTCCCGAAATAGACAACAAAACACATATTTTTTGTATTGAACTTATTTCCAAGGAAATCAGCGAATGAAAAATATATACATATACAAATATATATACACATTTACATACGCTTTTACCATATACACTTGCTTATAGAAATATCAAACGGCGGGAAGTTGTTGAGCACTCGCGACCTTCGCATCGAGCCTACCTGCCCTCATTTATAATAAATATATATAAACAAATCAGTAAACGCAAATTCTTGCTAGTTTTACCTCAATAATTTGTCGAACCGAGCTAACTTTCGCACAATAACACGACACGGCAACACGCTAACTAGTGATGCAACCTAAAGGCAAACTGATCCAGATATCGAACTATCGATAGAGAATTGAAATAACAGCGATGAGAAAATTTACAAGTTACCATCACTACCTAATTATTGAGATGGGCAGGGTTGTCTGTTTGTTTATGTGATTCCAAATATCTAATACGTTTACAGTCAACGTTCAAGTTTGGTCTATGTCAGCTAAGCACACGCCAGATATATCGGAGCTGCTACCAGTGCGCCAGTATCGCTGCGAGCACTGTGCAGATCAAGTGTTTGGTAATCAAAGCCACTATAGCCTGCACCTTCGACGACGACACAAGTTGGCACTCATAAAGAACGAAGCGACGAATCTTGCATACCATTGTCCAGTTGTAAGTTGTATTTATCATGCAGAACGGAAAGACGGAAGAGGCTTTGCAAATCTACGATTCCTGCGGCAACATTACCAAAAAACCCATATGACCAAGACGTTCAAATGCAATAATTGTAATGAAGCATTTCTACTCGAGCGTCATTTGGAAAAGCATCAATGCTGTTCCACTTACCCTTGTGCTGTATGTGGCCTCACCTATACCAGCAAGGCAAGCCTTCAGACCCATATGCGTCGCAAGAATCACCTGAAAGTGCCCTGTGAGAGTGAGACAACTAAGGATGCAGCAACGTCAAAGGTGGCAATTCCTAAGTTAAAGGCATGCCAAAAGTTGCCAAGGAGTTCTGTTAAAATGGTCGATCAATCCACAAATACTGAAGAAGTGCCATCAGATGATTCACCTATTAATGTGCCAATAACGGAGCACATACCACCCATAGACTCACCTATGCAACCATCATTCTATTGCCTGCCAGACATAGAGGTGCCCTATGCTCTGCAAACAGCCACACAGACGGACGACAGTGTCGACATGGACGTGGCAATCCAAACAGCCATAGCTGTAGCTCTTAAAGAACGTGAAAATGCAGAGAACGGATTGCCTATGCCAAGTTTGACGTATGATGAAGTCAATCGGCTTTTGCGCGACATGGAAACGCAAACGGAAGATGTGGATCTTGATGAAATCGACATGAACAATGAGGTGCTGGGTCCACTGCTTCGAAATATACAAACCCAAACGCTCGACAACAGGCAACACCAAGGCACAATGACAGAGCTTGACCAGGAGTCGGACCCGCAACAAAATGATAATTATGTGGCTTACCAAGACCAGGAAACAATGTTCGGGCCGCAGAACTCCGCTCACATGCATACCCAGACCTGCGATGAGCTGTTCGAAGAGCTGGGCTTATCGCATATACAAACCCAAACACATTGGCCAGATGGGCTCTACAATACGCAGCACACGCAAACTTGCGACGAAATGCTGGACGAGCTGTTGGAGAATTTTCAGTCGACCTATACGTAAACCAGGTGTTTGGATTGGCAGGAAACTGAAGATGCTGTTATTAATAAAATACTTAGCTATAATATATATATATATATATATATATATATATATATATATATATATATATATATATATATATATGTATATATGTTCACAGACTTTTATTAGCTTATTTGTTATTTAAGGGATAAACAATACAATAGTTGACGTTTAATACAGTCTTATACATCTAATTAGAAATCTAAGTTGCTTTCATTTTGTCCTTGGAGGACCTGGTCAGCAGGACCTCTGAGCATTGGAAGAAGCAGTAGCTGCAAAAGCTCAATGCCAAGTAGTTGCCTATGCCGCTTAAGTAGGCGCCGCGCATTAGAAATCCGCCGACTTCCTGACCGGCAATGAAGTAAACGTTGGAGAAGGCAGCGGGTATAAACAGTTGGGTGGCAAGAATCGCATGCAATCTTTGTGCGCCAGCAGACCCAAAGTGATTGAGTGACCAATTTTGATAGGCAGGCTTCGACACAAATGTCTTGTAGAGCTTTTCCGCGGCCAGGCAAACAAAATTAAGTACGCTCCAAATCAGTACATAAGTGTAGCAGCCATGCCAGATGAATACAAATGAAAAAGTCAGTGCTGTGGCACAAAGCTTCGCAGCTGGGGACGACTTCCGGCCGCACAACTCAGCGTAAATGTGCTTAAAGAGAAACTCATAGAGTCCCTCGTCAAAGTACTTCCACATGTCCGAGTAAAAATGAATGCGTCCAATACAGCGTGGTCGCCTTGGTGCCGCAATGTCATCATACTCGGCAAACGCAATTCCCAGTCCATAGGTAATCACATAGAATATAAAAAAGAACTGCCCCATGAAGTAGCCGGCGGCATGCTGCCAAAATACCGACTCCATCATAACCACCGCGCGCACATCCCGTGACATGTAGTTGATGTAGAAGTAGTGCAGGGACCACTGCATGACCAGCCACCAAAAGACAACGCGCAGCAGAGCTACAAAGAAGCTCCAGTTCGGAGACAGATCTTTGCCCGTGGGTTGCTGCTTGAAGCGCTCAAAGCTAATGAACGGTCCATAGGTGAGGCAAGGAAAGTACATGGTATAGGCCAGGTACTCAAATAGATTTTTCGAGCCAGTCGCAGTAAAGGAGTAGCTGCAGCCACGTAACAAACTCCAGGAGAGGGTAACTATTAACAAGACATACTCTTCATATCCAACTTGAGACAGCCACCATTTGCTGTTTTTGGCAACGTTAAGGACCCCGATCCAGGCAGCGGTTAGCAGCCAAGTCGCAAGTTTTGATCGTGCGTACAGAGTTATCAGATAATAGCTGACCAGCAGAGACCCAAACATAGCCATGGATGTCCAATGCATATTGAGGACGATTGCCAATGCGCAGACTGCAACATGTCCGAACTGGCGCAAGTGGGCCCATTTCCAGCGCGAGACACCACTCACAAGTGCATGCAACAGGTAGAAAGGCCAAAATTTGGCTATGAAATCAGCAAAGTTCTCCAATTCGTCATTACTGTCGTCACGCTTGGGGGCCACGTCAGCCCGTTGGAGCAGCCTCCAGCCATCAGCGAATTGGAAGTCAGTCGTGCTTAGTATACGATCCCTTAACGCATAGATTTTATATAATCCAATAACAATATAAGCAATATAAACACAAAAGTAGGCAAGTTTTTCGAATCTGTTTAATAAGCCGGCAGTCATTTCGATATCGATAACAGTGTACTACTATCGATAGCGATGGGAGAGTGTCGTGCTCAAATTTCAATCTTCATGGTAACATATTTGGTTAAATTAAAATATAAATATATGCTATAGGTTGCCTATAGGCGATCTATATGATAGATTATGTAATCAATTTAATGACAGATGTAACTTAGGACTACATTAATTCTAAAATCGCATAGTGTAATGTACATATATGTATGTATGTTTGTGTACGAATGTATGTATGTTTATGGATGTATGTATATATATATATATATGTAGGCATATGAATTTTAATTCATATCATCATCCTCTTCTTCATGTTCCTCCTTGACTTTACGCTCCGCCTCGGTCCCACGCCGTTGCAAGTGCCGCCATAGCGTGCTCTTAGGTATTTCAAAGAGATTGGCTGCATGATTTTGGGTCATTCCATCATTGAGGCACGCATGCACTGCCTTAGCTAGCTTTTCACGCAGCTCATCCTTCGGGGTGCTGTCACGCCGCCGGCAAGCAACGAAGTCGGGCAGGCGACCCTGTGCCGCAAGACGCACTTTGTGGCGGTGCAGCGTCGACATGGGTATATGGAGATCCTGGCTTATGCTTTTCAGCGAATCGCCATTCTTCAGGCGTTCATAAGCTTCCGAAAGCGAAGGTTTTTCCCGTTTTATCCGCATATAGGCTGGATTCGATCGCACACGTCGCCAAAGCACGGTTTTTGATATATCGTAGCGATCAGCAGCTTTTTGCAAGCTGAGGCCTTCGTGTAGCACGGCAGCCGCTGCGAGGTCGAGGGCTTCATTGAGATCATCTTTGCATTCTTTTTTAAGTGCTGCGTGTTGTTGATGCTGTTTGGTCATTGCTTTCTTCGTTGCCTTTGATGATGCTGGACGCTGGCGTGACTTGGGTTTTAACATTTTCATATCGAGTTGAGATTTGCGAGGTTTCACATCCAACAGCTCATCATCTTCCTCCTCGTCTCCATCGTGCATTGCATCCTCGTGCATATCAACATCCGCCTCTGTGCTCATCTCTATTAAAGGATCAGCCGAACCAACATATTCCTCCTCGATTAATTGTGACTCCGATTCTTCGTGCTCGTCTGTAACGTCTGCCTCTACATCCTCGTCGCCTAGCTCAGCTGTCTCCACAGTATCAACCACAGCTGAGCTGCCTTGCACTCCTAACTTGGACACAGATGATTGTGTTATGGTAAACGTTCCCGTATTCTCTGTATATATATACTGATTTCCGCTGGTTGTGCCGCCCATGTGTTCGATTGAATATGTTATCTTGGGCTGTTCACCGTACACATCCAGGAATTCCAGCGTTCGGCCTTCCTGCTCGTGCTGGTGTTGAGGATTAGTGAGTACGGTATTATCCACTTCCAATTTGCCAACTACTGCTCCTGCATCTTCCTCTTCCTCCTCCTCCATAAGAGCTGTATTCGCTATGTGCAAACCGCTAATTGATTTGGCTTCCTCGACAGCCATAGCGCCACTTATAACATTTGTGCTCGTCATGGATGTCGGATTGGTATCAAAGCTTATGGCAGACTTGATGCCCAGTAAATTAATGGCCCCGAGAAACTCGGGCAGCATGGCAGAGGTTAAACTAGTTTCCCCCATGTAAATAAACGATAACACATTCTCGAGCAGCTCACCACGGATGTCTGGTAAAATGACAGTCGCCTCCTGACCGGCGGGTAAATCGACAAGCAGATTGCGCATTAAGTCGCTGCAAGTGCTTAGAACGAAGAGGTGGGCGCGTACACTGATGCCATCTTTGGCCACAAGCAATACTTCGCATTGCTGATTGTTGCTTTGTTGATGTAGCAGAACGCGCTGTATATCCATTATTGTGGACGAGTGGCCCATCCATTTTAGGTGATTCTGAGGAAAGATAATCGAATTTCAAATGTAAACAAATCGCACAAGCGTGTCGGCATTTGCATTTGTTCCAAAAACCATTACCATTTTCGTTTGTTGTGTTTTATTTTCCAAAAATCGGATTCTATTCTATTCCAGAACTGCAGGCGAAACGCGACGAAAATGGAGAGCAATAGGGTTGCCAAATGTGATAAGAAACGGGATGCCACTACAAATTCAAATATTTTAACTTGCGACTTGCGGTAAAAAAATATAATAAAATGAACGCAAAATTTCTGTAGTGGTTTATTTACAAGAAAAGTCAATTTATAGCGTCAATTGAATAATAATTATTTTATTTAAGACAAAATATTTTAACTTGTTGGCAACACTGAGCTTGTTAAATTTGCGCTTGGTGGTTCATGAAATTAAGTTCAGCTCTTAACGGAAGACGATCATTTGTTATTGTTTGGCTTATTCCATTCTGCTGATGAATTCTGTACAGAATTTAAATAATCAGTACTATTGATAGTCAATTGTATTAAAAGTAATATGCAATGGGGTTCATGTTAATTTTTATGCTTTGTGGAGCCAGTGAATTTGTTCTGTTCCATCAAAATTTCAACAATTCGAGAATTTAGGAACAAAATTGAGCAGTGTCAATGATTTAGTTCACTAGAGCAAAACAATTTTCTCAACACTGGCCTTTTGACATTTTGTTATTACATAAAGTGTCAAATATTTGGCAGATTATTGAATTTGCACTGAAATATTTGGTTTAATCGAGCGTATGGCCGCATTAATTAGAAATCTGGGTGCCAGAATTGCTTCTGCCGCTTTGACGGCCAAGCATGGTACGTGTTTAATACTAAACATACTTCAATAACACTAATTTTTATATTGATTACATAGTGGTACCCGCTGGAACAGCTGCATTCCGTTTGCAGAGTACTGCGCCCGTTGATGCGAAACCAGCAGAGAAACGTACGTAGTTTGGGTTGGTTAACAAATATTTCGTTCATATATATAATGTGTTTCTATTTGGTAGCCACTGTACGCAAGCCAGATGCAGCTGCTCGCTCCAGTCTTTCTGATTTCGGTCGATATGTTGCCGAATGCATGCCCAAGTACGTCCAGAAGGTGCAACTGACTTCTGGTGATGAACTGGAAGTGCTGATTGCTCCCGAAGGTGTTGTACCAGTGCTACAGTTTCTGAAGGATCATCATCAAGCTCAGTTTACCAACTTGGTGGATATTGCTGGCGTGGATGTGCCGTGCCGCAAGAATCGCTTCGAAATTGTCTACAATATTTTGTCGCTTCGCTTTAATGCTCGTATTCGGGTTAAGACCTACACCGATGAGTTAACTCCTCTGGACTCGGCTTGTGAAGTTCACAAGGCAGCCAATTGGTATGAGCGTGAGATTTGGGACATGTATGGTGTCTTCTTTGCCAATCATCCAGATTTACGTCGTATCCTTACTGATTACGGATTCGAGGGTCATCCACAGCGTCGCGACTTCCCGTTGTCCGGCTATGTTGAACTGCGCTATGATGATGAGAAAAAACGCGTTGTTTGCGAACCTTTAGAGTTGGCACAAGAGTTCAGGAAGTTCGATCTGTCGGCACCCTGGGAGCAGTTCCCTAACTTCCGAAATGCAAACCCACCAGCCGAGGTGGTGCAGCCAGCTAAGGCTGCTGCTGGTGCTAAGAAGTAAGCAGTTCGATGTGCCGCATCGAAGTTGTGAACCTTGTTAAATGGTAATTATGTAGAAAACTATCAATAAAAACGATATGTAGAAATTGTAAATTTAAAAACAATGATTTATTGATAATCAACGGTACGTCACATAGAGTTTAACCTTGCATTCAGGCTCTGGGAGTCCGATTCTAATATGTAGTAAGAAAATAGATAAGGTCAAGTCATATAAAATATGCTTTTATACTTTTAAAATTTGAAAATAGTTGCCAATTACAATTTTTGATCGATCTACCAGTTTGACACGCACACATATCGGGAGTGCAAAAATAGATTTTCTTAAATTCTCATGAGCTGGGTACAAAATATTTTCATTGAATTACAACACCAAGATATATCGCTGTAACGATTTCGAAATTGAATGAAATTGTTGTATTCATAGCTTGAGTTAATTTAAAATTGATTTATAACTTGCTTTACTTGGCATTTCTTGCACTTTTTTGCGTTTGCACGCTTCCGTTTTGTCTGCCATCGCTGTCGAACTTAATTTTGTACTCTTGTTTATATGTATATTGTCTAAATGTAACAAAGTCTAACTAAACAGCAGCGAAATGTTGACAATTTTATTTGACTTAGCGACTCGTGTTCGCATTCGCATTCGCATTTTTACAAAATACTCTACATTCACATGTGCTTGAATATATACGCATATCATATGCATATTTACGGATTATCTTAATAGACTTACAAATCTGTTTTGTTTTTTTTTTTTTTAATTTTTTAACACAAAATTCAGTTTACCAGGTGAAAAATCGTGCGCCTGCGCAGCGGTGCCTGGCCTTAAAGGCGTCAGGTGTTAGGGGCGTCGTCACGCCTTCAATCCTAGTGTTCTTTGTTTGGCGGGAAGTTTATAAGTTTGTTGTACAATACACACATATATTTATATATATTAATGTATGTATGTCTGCTGTAGAAGTTGAATTCCGTTCATATATTTATGTGTTGATTCGAGCTTGATTTATCTGCACCGCTGATGTTTTTTTATTTCTTGATTTATATGTATTTTCGTTTCTCCAATTTGTACAAGACTATACATACAAATACGTTGTACGTGTATGTACGTAACAATAATTTTACATTTACATAGCTCGCTATACGATTAGTATTAAAAATGTTTCTTGTGCATTTGTAAACCGTGGCATGCGACTGGTTGCGCGCATGCCTACATGTAGGTATGTATCCATGTATGTATGTACACGTATGTACGCTACATCACTGCGCCGCCGAAATGGTGACGCAGATACAAAAACAAATTTTGTTGCGCTTCAATGCGCGTGAACAGTCCGTGTCCAGGTACCTGATCCGTCCTGGACAGTGGGACTGTGACAAATGAAAAATTTCGATGCAGGATGAAGAGTGTGCCGCTGGCTTGCCGTTTAAATGGCGCTACAGCTGCACTTCCTGGCGACAAACAACAAATTCGACATCGACGACCATTCGTGTAAGGGCCCGTCGTGCCTCAAATACAAATATGTAAGCCAATGCACACGATTCCATGGTGTGGCTTATATCGATTCGGTTTTCGTATAGAGCCGAGCAGCGGACCCGCCAGCTGATGCATAGGGTGCTCCTTTGCTGTTGCTGCTATTGCTGGTGTTGGCTTGGCTTTCGCTGCCGCTGGCAGCAGCGGCTGCTGCTTCATTATTGAGCCGCTCGTGGTACTCCTGGAAGCACGGCACGATGCATAAATTCGTTTGACACTCGGGACAGTGGTATTTCGTTTTGCGGCGCAAAATGCGACCATGTCCATCGATGGTATTCCAGCAGAAATTGCAGCCCAGCGCCGGACCAGGACGAATAACTGGGCAATGACTAGACCGTGGGTTCTCTAAGGTAATTATTTCACGTTGTGTCTGCGTAGTAAAGTTAAATATTAATATGATGTCGTGTTAAGCATACACTTATCCTCTTACCTGTGGAGAAGACACCGAGCGCTGTAGTTCCTCGTTCTTCACGCGCAGCGTGGGCAAATGCTCAAACGAACCACTCGTCGCAGTCTGGCTGGGATGCAGGTGAATGTTGCTGCTGCTGCTGCTGCTGCCCGTTGACTTGGAGGAACGTAACTTATTCCCACTGCCATTGGCCGTCTCTACCCGTGTGCTACTGCGCTCCACAATATTTGTGATGGGTGAGTGGGGCGACCGGCGTTCCGGAATGGGTGACTGTTCCGTGCTGCCTCCGTATGTCGGCGAAAATGGCTGACGATTGCTGTTGCTGTTGAGGCCTACTGGTGGCGATGTTACTACAGAAACGGGTGTGCCACTTGAGTTGGTGGGCGTGACTGCGGCCTCACTGGACGAAGCGGTACAAGTGACGACGCGTGCTGGTACCAGGTACTGCGATGAACCGGCTGGCGGTGGCGAGCCAGAAGCATAAATTGATTCAGGCAGCGAGATATGGTGTGGATGGTGTAACGGAGCAGGTGGCACATAGCTTGCATTACTTCCAGACAGTGGATGCGAGTATTGACGATGCAACGGCGCAAAGGGATTACTGCCCGTAATGCCGGCTGTGCCAGTGGCGTGCAGCGAATGCTGACGTGGCAGCAGCGGGTCCGAATGCTGCTTAATTAGATATGGTGTGCTGGCCGGTACGCTTAACAGGTGCGGAGTGGGCGATGCCAGACTTGGTGCTGGTTCAGAAGCGTGCCGCTCAATTCGAGGTGGTACGGTCAATAGATGATGGTGTTGGTGCTGCGCCTGGTGGTGATGGTGTGTCGAATAGTCCCTGGCTATGGCGGTGGTTGTGCCCGCCGCATTGAACGGATCAAAGTCAAGTGTCGTAGCGGCTGTATCCGGTGAAATCTGATTTGTCGACGAAAGACTATCGCTGTCGCGCTTAACCCGAGGCTGCCTGGTGAGCACCCTATTCCGCTTGGAGCCCATCACAGCAGTCGACTGCGATGTCTGCAAATCTGTTGCAGCATCCGTTTCACTCGGCGTCCGCTCAAAGCTGCCACTGCTGCTGCTTGTATTGGTGCCTTGGCTGTGGCTGATCGACAGCGTGGGATGATGCTGCGTGACATGCGCCGGACTAGGCTCTGCAAGCAAAGTACACGATTTAATTGCATAAAATTAATGAAATGAATTAGTTTAAATAATTAGTAAATGCAATTTTAAGTGAATTATGAATGTGTGACTTTTTTTTAATTTTATTCGTTTCTTGCACATCGAAGCCTAAAGTCTAAAAGGTTCGTTTGTTAGTTACATTATATCGTACATATTTTCGTAACTTATTTTACAGTCGTTTCATTTACTACCGCAGACTAATAGTACATTAAATGTAAATAATTAAATATATTTATATATATATATATATATATGTATACATATAACTATATGTTAAACATACACATACACAACTACCATAGTTATTGGTACTTTTGCAATTGTAGGAAACAGAGTTAGTCATAATTATTGTTTATGCTATTTTGCGTTGTTTATTTTGTATATTTATTTTTTGATGAATTCGTATTTCGTTTGGTTTGTTTTTGTTGTTTGTTGGCGTGTGTTACACTATGCATCTAGTTGTAGGAATTAAAATGCATTACCAAAGTTTGACGTTATAAATGACTTCTAACAAATCACGCTTAATTTTTAGTTTGCCCTGCGACAATATAAAAAGTTATTTATTAGTTACATACATTATTATATATATAATATTAAACTACTTTTTTATTTTGTTTTCATTATGTATATATATTGTATTAAAAACACACTACTCTTATTCGTTTTCCTTTACTTTCTGCAGTCTCCATTTAGGATTTTGGGTGGTTACGAGTTATCTTAGTTTTGTATATTGCATATATGGCTTGCCCATTTAGTCCTATTTCTAATCGTATGCGTACATCGAACTTATGTACAATTAAGAATTTCAAAATTATTAAACCAAGATTCCCTCGTCAGATATGTCTAATATGTGCCAAATTGCACTCCAAACAAAAACAAAGTGTTCTAATTTAATATATATCTCTTTAACAGAAACTAGCATTGGAATGGTGTGTAAATTGCCAACGTCGAAATTATTTTGTTAATCTGATTTTAGTGATGAATATGTAAAAACAGTCCCTGAACAAATTATTGCTTCCATATGGATCATTTGGTTGGTTGATTGGTAAATCCATCCCATAATCGAAAATACAAAATGAATTCGTACATTTACAAATGTATATATTGGTACGTACATATATATTATACATTATTGAGTTGGCTTAATTAAATATTTGATGGTTAACTTCCCTTACGGTTTATTTTATACGGACTTTAACACTATCCGTCTAACGGCAGACCCATTCCCCATCAACTAGATACAAACACCCATTTTAACTAAAAACTGATTGGCCGTTAACTGTACACAAAACAGATATATAGAAGTATATATATATATATATATATATATATACTCAATTATACGATTTAGAATGTAATCGTAATAAAGGTTGCTTTTGTAACACGAGTGCCAGGATTAGTGGGGGTTTACATCAATGATCAAAATAATTAGGCCATTTTTAAATATTTATATTTAAAAAGTTGTATGTACATGCTAGCTAGTCGATACATAAATCAATTTCTTTCTGATGATTAACACTAATAAAATTGTATAAATTTATGTACAAATATAAATTGTGGTTACATATACAAGAGTACTTTACTTCCGATTCCTTAGTTAACAGTGGTAAAAATAATGTTCGGCTCGAAACATGTAGCTTAAGGAATTAGGTTCTATAAATTATTACATGTGTTGTGTGTCGGCACATCTGCTTAACTTTAGGGACACTAAATATTAGTGGGCTATGTTTGCATACAAACATGCTATGTATCCCATCTTATTCCGATTACGATTCCGATTCCGATGCCTTATCTTTGTAGTTCACTATAGCTGCCGTTGCTCTAATACCTGTATACCTTGCACGGCTTAGCCCGGGAGCTTAGGATTTGTCTAAGTATTGCAGGCCCGTGTTAACCAGTGGAGCTAATGTACTGGCAACCAGTGGCGGCGGTGGTGGTGCCGCCACCGTTACAAAATTATTGAAAAGAAACGCAGTAGCCGCTGCGCTATGCGCAGTGCCCATTGCTGAGACCGATACGGGCACGGCTGATATGCTCATTGGTTCTGGCTCGTTTGCTGCCATAACGGCGGCCGCCTGCAGCATCGTGGCTGGCCCTGGCCCGTGCGCAGACTCGCCGCCGCTAAGTTGGTCCACCTGCATAGGCATTACACCTGCGGCGGCGGCAACAACGCCCATGTGACTTGAAATCGTATTCTATATTGAGTTGAAGTTAATACTCTGTAGATTCATGGCAGCGGCCGGATTAACATTGATCGTACCCGCTCCGGAGGCACTGGCCGCTGCACCAGCACCCGTCGCATCGATATACCGCTGCCGGGACATAGTGTGCACGCTTGTTGGTGATTCCATGTAGCGTGCGTCGAAGAGGCTCATGACGCCGATGGCTGGATGCGTGTTAGTGCCACCGGCCGTAGAGGCCGCTGACGCGCTGGCATGATGCGGCGTACACATCAGCGAAGGCGTTGGCGTCTCCGCCTGCGGCGGAATCTGCATATTAAGCGCGGCAGTTTGAGCTGCGGCCACGGCAGCTGCTGTTAGATGATCATATGATTCGTTGGGCGTATCGTCGCCGGGATTTGTTGACGGTGTTGGTGAAGGTGAAAGGTTGGGCTCCTGTTTGACCACACGCGCCTTGATGCTGGGCCTCGATACAGGGTAACCGCGTTTTTTGTATTCCAGCCAGAGAGTCCGATTATTCACCCCGTACAGTCGTGCAGCCTTGCAGAATCCGATACCACCAGTACGAACTGCTTCCAGAGCCCGAATAAAGTTCTCATCACCTTGTGGATTAACAGAACGTTTCCGTTTTACCACTTGACTGTTGCCGCCGCCTCCACCACTGCTGCTATTTCCGCCGCCGCCTGCGCTACTCGCACTTCCACCTGCACTACTACCACCGCCGCCGCCTACACCCGAGTGAACAGGTGACTGCGTAGGCGTTGGCCCCTGACTGTACACAGATTGAACCATGTTGGACTCGTTGGGAGACGTGGGTGACAAGTTTTGCGCTGCAGTTGTATAACCGCTGACCAGATTATTCACGGTTATGATTTGCGACGAATACGCCTGACCAGCCGTGGCGCCTTGTTGCTGCTGCTGCTGCTGATAGTGCAGCTGTTGTAAATGCTGCTGTTGCTGCTGCTGCGTGGCCTGTTGCTGGGCTTCATGCTGCTGCTGCTGCTGTTGACGCTGGTCGTTGGTGCCGGCAGCACCGACGCCTGCATTGCTATTCGCGCCACTGTTTTGATTGCCGCCGTTGCCATTGCCAATCAAGTTGGACTGACAGGCAGGCATCGAAAAGCGCGAATAGTTCGAATCAACAACTGTCCACTGCAGACCTGGGAAGGGGAGAGAGAGAGAGACAGCGTAAGATTGGTTTCGTCTTTAGTTGGGGTTTGAAATTGAAATTTACTCTCTATAAATTTACTCTCAACTTGGGGTCGGGGCTCATCATTTGGCCAAGATCTGAGATTGGAAATAGGGGCAAACCATTGGACAACAGGTATATTATAGTTTGTATAGTAGAATGGTATTGGTATCGGTATCGAGTAGTAGAAAGATTGCTAATGCTAAATCATTATCATTCGAAAACCGCTCCTAAAATGTATTCCCATAACAACAAATATTCGAAGAAAATTAAAAATCACTTGGCAAACAAAAGAGTTTAGTAATCAAATCGACAAAATTAAAAAATCAAATCAGTAAATACAGTTATTTAGTTTTGGACTCTGTGCTAGCTCTCTCCCATTCCCAAGTTCAGGTAGGATTTCGTTTTTGAATAGTATACACAATAGTTAATTATATACATATGTACATACACAATTGCATTAATTTTCATGTAACACAATTATTTTTATTCGCACTTAATCGGTAAACGGTAGTCTTTATGCTTATGTTTCATATTTAGCTTTAGCATTCATTTCTCCAAGCGCTTTGGATAGCACTTAAATTCTTTGAACTAAAGTATTTTTGTGTGTGTATTTGTGTGATCGTGTTGGTGTCGTTGTGTGTATGTGTGGTGTACATGACATATGAATGAGCGGTAGCAGAGTAACAACAGTAGTATCTAAAGTTGACCAAATTCGGAAGTATGAAATAATGATAATGATAGCAAAATAACAACAAAAACCCAAAACGGAAGGGACCAGGTTGAGCTCCCCCACTCGGCTCATATGGACAGCCTGTTGCCAATAAAAAGAACAACCCCTTAATGAAGCATGATCTGGCGTATGATTATATTTATATGTTGCAGTGTTATTTCTCTTAGTGCAGTTGATTTGTGTACTCTTATTATATTAAAGTACATTACACTTAAAAAATAAGTCGCAAATTTGTTTTGTATACTTTCAGAGAAGTTTGGGTAGTTTTACTTTTCTTATTCTCGCGATTTATTTTTTAAGGCACACTGTACAATTACATTTCGGACTGCGCTGTTATAGTTTAGTGTCTGAACTTACCCGAGTGCGACGATTGTGAATTGGGGGCGTCGTGTTCCGAAGGTGTCGTAGTGCCAGATATGTCCAGAGGCATCGATTGATTCACATTGCCAATATCCACTTCAGGCTTCTGTATGTTGATCAATCAAATATGAAAGAGACAGAAGTTTAATAAAATGCTTGGAAATGGATATTTAGTTAACGTGACCAATTTCATTACAATTTGCATATGTATGTGTCCGTGAGCGTCATCCAGATCCGAGTCCTGTGGCTGTTGTTCTAGCTCAGTGCTCGCCGACTCTTTCAGCAACTTGGCAGTATGCATCGAGTGGCCCGAAAGACTGCCCAGTGCCGCTGAAGAGTTATTGCCCGCTCCACCGCCAAATGACATTTGACTCATATGCGCTAGGCTGAGTCCAGCAGCGCTGCCAGCGGCGCTAGCTGCATCCAAGGAGCTGCTATGCTGTTCCTCCGAGTTATTCCGGTCACCAGAGCCTAAAAATAAAATCAAATTAGTTACATTGTTCAGTTTCCACGATATTTACTTCCTGGTCGACGATTCTTTACCCAAGTCACACTCACCGTTATTCGAGGATTTTCGCAAGCGCTTGCGCCGCGTGGCCGGCGAGGTGCCAGCACTTAGCGGCGATGGTGTTCGTCTCAACTGATGATGATGCGTCTGTGAACCCTGCGCTTGGCTGCCCTGCTGCTGTTGTGGTTGGTGATGATGATGGTGATGATGATGCTGTTGCTGCTGCTGCTGTTGTTGTTGCTGCTGCTGTTGTTGCTGCTGTTGCTGCTGCTGCTGCTGGTGCTGTTGTTGTTGCTGCTGCTGCTGTTGTTGCGCCTGCTGCTGCTGTTGCAGTTGTTGCTGTAGTTGTTGCTGATGATGCTGCTGAAACTGTTGTGCCTCACTGCTACTCCAAAGCGAATCACCAGCACTACTACTGCCACTAGCCGCTCCTAGACTAGAGGCAGCCACACCAGCGTTGGTGCCCGCAACATTCGCGCCAGCTTGACCCAGCAACTCGGTGGCCTCGCTGGACGACTTGCTATCTGACTTGGTGAGGTTCGCCGGATCTGTTGGCATTTCGGCCAGGCCCTTTATTTTGAGCATCTCGGCTGTTTTAAGTATGTGTGGCAGTTGCTCTTGCGACACATTTACCTCACCGTAGTACATAAAATCCACCATCGTCTTGAGATCATCGTACTGCACGTCCTTCAGTATGACAATCGGATGTTGACACGGATTCGTCGTAAATAGCGCCTGTTAAAATTAATGTGAAAAAGATGGGTGTCTTGAATATTCACTTTTCTTCAAAATCTAAAACACGCACCTGAAAGTACGAACTGCACGCGGACAGCACTATTTTGTGGGCCTGAAGTTGACGACCCTCCGCGGCAAGCGTGACGTCCACCAGCGTCCCATTATGCAGCAGGGAGGAACAGACGGATATGAAGTTTGGCTGGTGATTGTTCCAGCGCAAGCAGAACTGCTGCACAGACATTGTCAGCGTCAGCGTTGGCGTCTACGCAAGCAACAACACCCCTTGGCGAAGATGTTGCCGCTGCCGCGTACTCTATCTCGCGGCAGCAACAACAAGTTGTCGAAATGCCAACGAGATACCAGCAATGAATGCCAAGACAAGCCAACCAACAATATCAATTCCAAAAAGCCAAATGACGAAAACACGCTGATAACACTTTTTATCGCCTATTGATTATTGTTTTCTACTTTCTGTTCCGCTATTTTTTTGTTGCTGTTGTTTTTCTCTTCGCTTTAATTAAAGTTTATGTACAATATTATTTTCAGGGCGCCTTTAAGTTCCGCTACTATTGTCCTCGTCACTGTTTGTTTTTGGATATACATACATACATACGCGTACATATATATAAAATTTTACGTTTGGCGGCGGTTTCTATGCCGCACCGTTATACACATACACAGATGCACGCATCTTATGTACCGCTGAAATGGGAATGAATGCGAAATAAATAAATTATAAGTATGCACACACATTATAATACATATTTTTATATTTATTTGATAAGAGCAATATTCGAATTTGTTTGGATTAATTTTTTCTTCTTCTGCTTGCTTTAGTGTCAAGTTATCTCTTCTTGCTTACGCGCGCACTCTTTCGCTCTTTTTCTATGTATCACAGGCTGCGCCGCGCTCGCTCAGGCTGGTTACAACAAAAACAGCGTTGGCAACAACAAAATAAGTATATATATATATACATATGTGTGTGTGTAATTATACAGTCGCGAATAGCACACGCACACGGGTACACGTAAACATTCTAGCATATACATACACTGGCAGATGCTGGGAAATTTAACAGAAAGTCTGTGTACTGTTTTTTTGCCTTAAGTTTTATTTTTAATGAAAACGTAACGAAATCTAATACATAGGCTTCATGTCTGATGTGCGCTATAGGGAGACCTTGAATTTTCTTTGATTGTTATGACGTAATTAGCGCGTCTGACCCTCTGCCTCTGCCACAGGCACGACCACGACCGACGTCGACTAATCGCTGCTTCGTTTATTCATCGTATTGACATTTTCAGCAGCCTTTATTTAGGTATGTACACGCATACATATGTGCATATGTCGCGCGTTTTTTGTTATAAATGTTTTCCCATCTACATGCTTGCATTCTTATTTAATTAGCAATTGGCAAAGTTTTATGTTTTTCGTGGGTTAGGGCAGACGATTTTATTATTTCGCACAAAAGAAAACACGGCGAGAAGTAGAAAGTCCAAAAACAAAATGGCGCGCTTGTAAGAAAAATTGTTAGTTTGCAAAAGCTTTTAAAATCATGTTTTACACGTTATATTTTATAGGGAACTTATGTATTACACATTTTCACTGTTGTCTTTTTACATTGTGCATATTTTTGCTTAATTTTAGTTTGCATATAATTTAATTATGACAGAAATGCAGTTCTTACGTTTTACTTCTTTATTCTTTTATTGCGATATCAGACTTGACAATCAGGGTTGCTTTGCAGAACTGGAAAAAGCATTCAATGAAAACATCGATAGCTTAAAAATTATTGTATCTATCGATGTTTTACTAACTGACATGGTCAAATGATTTATTAATGTGAAGCTGTGAAATAATTGATCGAATTTAGGAAAGTTTTTTATTTTTTATTTTTAGATATTGCTTTTAAATTTTAGGTTTACTAAATGCTATAAAGTTCAAAAATTATTTGATCTAAAATCGTTCAGAGAATACCCCTAATTCGAGCTATTTAAAAGCCATCGAATGTAGAAGCTATCGATTAATTTCCAGTCACTATCGCAGCTTTTAGTGTTGGTAATGATGTATATACTCGGATGTTAATACCAATAGGAATAAAATACTAAATATTTAAAATGGTATTCGGCTTCACTAAATTTTGAGCTTATGAATTTTCATAATCCCACTGAAATAACAGCAATTAATTAAATTAGTTCACATACACAGTACGAAATTCCTCTAGGTTTGCAAATATTCATTTATTTTTATTTATTAAATGAAATGCAATCCAATATAAATTAAATTTATTTAGAAATAAACATGTATGATTCTCTCTCTTTGAGTTAGTTTCTATAATTGAATTGTTTAAAGATGAACAAATGTTTATAATTTGTAATGCTAATACCTTTTTAATGGCAAAAATCGCCTGATAAATTTGAGCTCATTTGCATTAGCACTTTCCGAAATGGAGTCAATAAGATTAGCTATATATTCATATACAAATGTAACTATATTAAAATAGGAACAATGCTATAAAGTTCAACGAAATAATGATGTGTAGTTATGAATAGGGCTGCTGCTATTCATGATACGCCCAGATTTACAACCTTTGATAGTCGGAATAAATATGCATTATATTTTATGCATGTGACAAAAGTTAAAGCTGCAATGGAAAACGTTTGTGGAACGCGGTCAGATTCATATTTGAGATGCATAAATTAACAATTCTGTATCTCAAAAACATTTTTTAATATGCATTATGACGCGGGGGCCCTTGTGTTGTAGGTGTAGGTCATCGATCCGACCGAGCGCTAGCTGATATAAAAGACTCGTCCAAAACATTGCGACATCAGTTCCAACTGCAATAGAGATCGGTGTAGTAACTAAATTTTCAGCCAAGCAAAAATGAGCAAGACTGTAAGTTGTCATCCTAATATCAATTAATTGTAGACTAAAAATTGATCATATTTCAGAGCATTATCCTTGTTGCGTTGTGCCTTGTTGCCAGCTGCAGTGCTGTGGATGAATCGGGTGCTGTGATTACCAATTATCGATCAGAGGCTAATCCGGATGGCAGCTACAGTTACGAATATGGCACTTCAAACAATATTCAGGCCCAGGAGACAGGCGTGGGCGGTGCCTATGCTGCAGGGTCTGTGCAGTACACTGCGCCCGATGGACAGCCCATACAACTGGCGTACACAGCTGATGAGAATGGATATCAGCCTAGCGGCGCTCATTTGCCAACACCTCCACCCATTCCCGATTACATCCTGAGGGCATTGGCATACATTGAGGCACATCCTTTCGCCAGAATTCAATTGAAGAAATAAGACTGTAATAGAATTGTGTAGCCCTCGCGCCACTTAGTTTAAGTTAGTAAATCAGAAATAAATTGCTTACATTTTACCGTTAAATCAGACAAAGATATAACTGCAGTAGGCAGCTTCACTGTGCGGCTGATACATATAGCTAAATCTGCTGAAGGTGTTTTGATATTATACTGCCTTGGGAGTATTTCACTTCCCCAGAGTTTGCTGTAAGTTGAGCTGTTTCTTTGCCACTTTGAGTTTAATCAAATGTGAAATGAAAAATGTAACTTCGTTTGTGCTCCAACTCAGTTGCCAGCAGCATCTGCAGCATCAGCTTCGGCTGTAGTATTGAGCAGTTGACCAGTTTTTTGATGTTAATGAAATTCAAAAGCCGTCGTTTTATACTAATTCAGTGTGAACGAAGGCTCTAGATTGGCGTGTCTAGTAGACATCTCTTAATCACGCAAATTGAGTCCAACACAGTCTTTAATTGATTTTTGATTCATTTCAGATTCAAGTGAAGTAGAGCACAAAGTAGATTGTCTATGGCACTATCTTAAGTGGACATAATTTAATTTGCTACAAACTTAAATTTTGAATGCTGCTTTATTGCCTTTTGGGTCAATTTGACTAGCTTAAAATAATTTAAGTTTGATTTTAATTTACGTGTAAAGTAGAACTGTTGATTTGATGATTAGCCGTACAAATTTAAAAAGATATACATTTTGGAATCGTCCTTGTTTTTAGCCTAAAATGGTGATGCAAATTCTTGCTAGTTATTTCGAATGTGGTCCAATTGAGTATGGTTTTTTGAATACGTATGGATTGCAGAGATTCGACTGAGTTACAAAATATAATTTCCAAAGTCAATTAAAATTTTATTGAGTTATTCAACTGTTGAATTAAACATTAAAATTAAAAAAACATTTAATAAAAATCCACTTTTCAACATTAAAAGTAATAAAAAATTAAAATCCACTCTTCAAGTTTTAGACGCGTATTTTAGTGAAATAAATAATGTATTATGTATATTTATACATATTATGTCATATATATTTGTTATATATTATGTATATATATATTTATGTTAAGTTTAAGGAGGAAAATAATCCTATAAATAAATAGACCAATGTTAAGTTTGCATACTTCAGATCACATTCGTTTATTTTACATAGTACACAATAGAAAAGTTTTTAGATTGATATTATTTGGAAATATTTATAATTAATTAATTTAATTTTTAATTAATTAATTAATTAAATATTTATAATAATATCGCTTAACCTATCGACCTAAAAATCTTGACGTTATTTTGACGCTCATCATATTGTGGGTGGGTGCGGATGTATTCCAATGATCTCAGAATAGCCGCTGGAATTGGTGGTGGGGTTGGCAAAATAGCGCCCTGTGGCTGGTAACCATTCTCATCGGCAACGTATGTAATTTCGATCGGTACGCCCTCAGGTGAAGTGTAAGAGTATCTACCGCTGGCAGCCTGACCACCAACTCCCTGTTCTTGAGCAGAGATTCCATTGGAGGTATCAAGTGCGTAGGCGTAGCTACCATCAGGATTGACCTCGCTCCTGACATTGGCGATTGCGTGGAGATCGTCCAACGGTCCGGCACAGGCGCAGGCAATCAAAGCCGAAGCAACAAGGAGCTAAATTTATTTGGGCGAAGTGGTTATAGCAATTAATCCTGTGATGCGAAGTTAAGCACTTACGAATCGGAACATCTTTGCAGGTTGTTTCTGTCTTTAGGTGATGAACTAAATGATGCCTTACTGGTAACACGCCAGCGAATTTATACTAAAATATTGGCTCGGTATTCTCATAAACCTGATCGCTTCAGAGCAACTTATATGTATGTATATGTTCAGGAAATTAATCTAAATAACAATAACAATAAAAACAACCAATAGCCCGAATTGTCCAAAACCGGCGAATGTCTGTGCACATCAGCATTAGCGGCAGCAGCCAGCGATGTGAGTGGGCTAACGCTCAGCGGCCTGTTGAGTAGAGCCAATAGCAAATGCCGCATGCAACGGAACGTCAATGCCAAGCCAGACCCTGGCCCACCGCCCGAAGGGAGCGAAGCGGGGGCTTCGCCCGGCACACCCAAAAATGTATTTCACTAAATTAATGTATGTGTGCGTGTATGTGTGTATCGCCATAAATATTTCGCATAATTTATGGTTTCACTGCTACAGTTTGTCTAGCTTGGTCCGAATTTTGTTGTCATCGTCCGGTTTTTTGGCCAGAAAGGTTTAACACATTTGTGCGGAGAGGCGCTAAATGTGCGCGCTTAACAAATTGGACTATAACATTGAGATAATTATCTAATTCAATGATCAAGCTGTGATATCAAAACAGGATTTATTTATGTCCAAGTCTCAGTCGAGTCTACATACACGCTGCGGCGGCAACGTGATTGATCTGCTGATGCATCAAATTTTATATGTAGACTTATTTTATAGCACATCTATAGCTATTTCAATTATTTTAAGCTTTGTTTTTAGCTGGCGTTTCGATTCTGAACGAAGCCTCAATGCTATATGTAAGTAGATAGCCCTTTTCAGGCTGAACTTAATTTGAATTTCATTTGGATATCCAGATTATAATCGACTGCGCTTCCTTTACATCATGTAAATGTGCAGATTTTTGGACGAAAATTGGGATGTAAGCCAATCGATTTTAATTCCAGATTAAAATTCTATTTTCACAGAATTTGTATTATATATATATTCTTTATAAGTTTTGGAAACGTGTTTCAGATAAATAATTATATATATATATATATAAATTGTCTGTATATTGCGTTAAATGCAACATTTAAGGAATGAAATAATCCTACCTAATTTTCAGTTTGTATACTACAAATCACATTAGTTAGTTATTTTAAAATATTTGATTTAACCTTATCCTGCCAACGATCTTAGAAATGGTGAGCTTTTGTATTTGATCGGCTCCTCAGTTTGTGTGTGGGCACGGATATATTCCAATGACCTCAGAACAGTTGCTGGAGTTAGTGGTGGCTGGCAACCATTCTCATCGACAACTCCCTGCTCCTAAGCAGAGATTTCATTAGAAGGATGAAATTCCAATTGATCTTCCATTGGTTCGGCATAGGCACAAGCAATCCGAGCAGAAACAACTAAGAGCTTAAATTAATATAGCAAAGTGGTTTTGACCATAGATCCTGCGATTCGTTCTTAAATTATATATATATACATATATGTATAGTATCATAAATACAGATTTGTTAGAGTTAATGTCAAAAACACATAAAAAACAAATAAAATGTGAAATAAGGTAAGTTAAGACAATATTTTGTTGCACAGTGTAGGGTGCAAGATGTTTAGAATTTAATTAAAATGATTTGTATTGATTTTGTGGCACATTTATGACACTTTTTGGTAAACATAGACTCGAAGCTTGTTGATAATTCAATTGATGGAAATGAGAAGAAATTTGAACAGGGAAAATATGCATTTGACTTTTAGCATTTGAATGATGGACGTATAAAACAAGTTTTGGCTTCATGGCTATGCGAGATGCCATAAACACTTACCTCATCAATTTATGGCCATAAGAAAACTATCTCAAGCATAAAACTATTCTGATTTACCATCTGTCGAAATTTGCATGCAAATTAAAACAGTTTTATAAGCCAATTTTATTTGACAACTAATAAACGTATTCTTAAGTTGCCCAGCCCAGTTGAGTAGCAGAAGCTCATATATATTTACATATATATATTTATATAGAAGGCATTGTGAATTTTATGTTTATGTTTAATTTTTATTATTGTTTCCAGCAGCTCAAAAAGAAGCTGAAACAACGATTTTATTCTAGCTTACAGGATGTGTAAAAAGCTAAGAACAGATAAAGAAAAGACTATATAATGCTGCTATGGGTTAGCCACTTAGAAGTGCACCTTAGCCAATCGCTGCTCCTTTGGCGGATGGGTGCGAATGTATTCCAGGGATCGGAGTATGGCAGCTGGAATTGGTGGCGGTGTGGGCAGATGAGCTCCTTGCGGATGGAAACCATTCTCATCTGCAGTGTAGACCAGTTGGATCAAATCGCCATTGTTATTGTAGTAGGCCGATGAGCCGCTCGCATAGTGGCCGCCTACGCCCTGCTCCTGCTGGGCTATGCCATTGGTGGTCTGGAATCGATACTCATAGGTGCCATCCTCCTTGACGTCGCTCTTGAGCTCACGTATTTCGGCGTTGGAGTCAAAGCTATCGGGACGGGCCTGGGCAACGGCCAAGAGGGCTACGGTCAAGATGAACTGAACCAAGGAGAAGATTGGCTGTTAAAATAGCTTCTTCAATTGCTGAGAGAGCTAATAAACTCACGAATTTCATGTTGGTCTCTGTGCTGGTTGTCACTGTACAGACGATGCGAGAATGAATGCTGCTGCAATGGAGTACCAGTCCATTTATAGTCTGTTTGCCAATTACCGGGCAAACCCAAGCGGCGACAAGTTTTATGGATTTTAGCATTGAACCTGAACTGCCGCTGCTGCTGCTCGAAATACATATATTGCCATACTCATTGTCGGCCCTGTTGCTAATTCACACATTGACATTCACAGACAGACAAATACATGCAAGTTGCTCAATTTTAGGAAGTGCGCAGATAAATTTGTATAAATTGTCTCTGCTTATGTGGCCTTTGTTTAAATTTCTGCTGGTTAGCCATGTTCTTCTGCTTTGTTGGGCCGACAAATCTAATTTATATTATTTAATTTTAACATCTTTCAAGTATATAATAAATTTCCATCTTTGTGTCTGACGAACTTTATTATATTTTAAAATAGTTTCAAAGGACTTGCATCAAGGCATCAGGAAACCCACGCACGCAATAAATCATAAAAAAAAGATTGACGAAAAACAAAAAACTTTATTATAAATGATACAAACTACTTAAAAAGTCGATTAAATATCAGGGCATTCATTTATTATAAAATCACAAAAAACGTTCCCCAAAAACCAAAGGTCCACAACACAGCCGGGAACGACCTTGCCACAGCATGTGCCGACTTTTTGCTTCATTTTTTTCTCATTTGCTGGCTACAAATATTGCGCATACGACAGGGATGGGAGCATTGAAGGCATCATCTGATATTGATGATATTTCATTGCAGATGCTGCAATTGCAGTTCGCGGCTCACGAACCTTCAGTCACGTATAATTCACATAGGTAACTGTCCTAATTTTAATTAGTCTTCGCTAATTTTTTGCAACTTTGTTGAGCTTTGTCGGCTTCCGCGTAAGCTGGACAGATTTGGAAACTAATAATTTAAACTATTAAGTGCGAATAAATTTAAATTGCCTTTATATAACTTATTTACTTTAGCTACCAAAATGTATATAAATAAAACCGATATTTTAATTAAGCTCAAAACTTCGCTCCGAGCTATACGAAAAGTTTAGTAGTTGCTATTTGCGTAGGTTTTAAGAGAATCTATATACGAAGTCATATAATTATAGCCTTTAAAACATGTGAGCTATGCTCATATAACGGATGCTCGATATAGTTGTTAATCGAATATTTAGTTCCGCGATCAATGCGTTCATTCATATGCATAGACCAGACCACAGAGCTCAACCGAAGCAGCTTGTTATTCTGTTCAAGAATATATATAATTTGTAAGACAAAGAAAGCGTGCTTCTGCCTCATACAGTAGACTTCAGCTGACATTTGAAATGGTTTAGGAGATGCAGACTTATTCCAAAAAGGTTCACCTCTAATTGAAGTAACTGAAGCCCACGGCATAGTTAGCCAGGCAGCCCATACTAACAAAATAAGCTATTCGCACCACAGTGGCTTGAGCCAATATTGGCGTGAGTCAGTGGTGCATCACTAGCGCGAATGGGCCAAGCAAAAGAAAAGCAACGAAGTAAGCACCAGCTACATGCTGTTCCATTTATAAGATTTGTGAATGCTTTTTATAAATACTCGTATTCGTGCAGGGGCGAGAGGTAGACGCAGAGTCTGGGCTGGGTTGGACTTAAAGGCAACATAATCTTCTTTCTTTATACGTTTACAAATATATTTATAATTTTTTGCCTTTTTGTTTTTTCGCCTTCTGTCGGAACCGGCTGCTGGGGCCCAATTGGACGGGTGCCGTCTGCCGCTTGGTTGAGTTTAAATGAAAGAAAAACTTGTTACGATTCTCAGGCACTTCCTTGCGCAGTTCGATGCTGCCTAAGTGGCTTCCGCTCGTCCCGGACCGGGTCAGTTCGGCCGGACCCATCATCAATCCGTCGCTGGGCGCATTAAACTCATATGAAGAGTGCCACTTGATGCACGTTCAACAAGCCGTCTAAAAATAATTGACCTAAATATTGTGGTTGCGACAAGTATGTCTCAAGGTCAGGGCTAGAGCACATCAAGCTTTGCCATTGCCTTTTATAAGTCGCCCAGTCTTCGCTACTCGTCCCTATTTGCTCCCATATCGAATGGATGCTTATGAGCATCATAAAAGTCTATGGGACTGCATAAATTATAATAATAGCTCGACATTTGAATATTTATTCGTGTTTGGTTTATTCAGGTTTTTTATTTGTATGCTCCACATTTTATCAGTTGATGAATGAATTAAAACCAAAGTTATGGTTAATCACTCGCTCAGTTCCATTGTCGGCATGCAGCTGTCAAGCGACTTATGTTAGCTACAGCTGATACAACTTGATCGACGACAGCTTTCACAGGGGTATATGCGACTATATGGCCAAGTAACCCACTCACAATGTCAACTACTTTCAAAAAAAGAGGCAAGGGGAAAAGACATTCTAACACTGACCTTGGACTCTTAAGATACCAAAGCTTTTGCCCTTATTTTTTGTTTGTTTTTTATTTACAAATCCAGCAAGTCGCACCTTTCGCTTGTATCTTTTCTTTTCAGAGCTGGTTTTTTTGGGTAAGTGTAAAATCCAATCAATGGAGTCTTAAGTTTTGGAGTAACGGTAAACATATGTCAGCGATTGGGTGGAGTCGCGTCGACTGAGTGTAAGAGTATGATTGACACACATAATGGTGAGGGTCGAGCTCAATTATTTAATTTTAATTAATTGTTATAAATAGAGTATCTAGATTGAGGCGTTGCCTATCTCTGGCCTGGTCTGAACCGCTCCTGGCTCGACGCAAACAATCAATATTAAGGAAAAAAGCCAAAATAAAATCCCCCGCAGCTCGCGTCTTTTGAATATTTTAATAAAATGCCCAAATAAGCGATTGTAATATTAATTAATTCATTTCATGGGCACAGCAATAAAACTTGTGAACTAATCGAAAGCAAATGCGAGCCTAAACTCTTGTTACATTCGAGTTGCAAGCGCTACGGAACTATCTGCTCGGATCTGGTTTCGCTCCATGCATTAGCATTATAACTAATTGAAGAGATAATTTAGTGGAGCAGAGCTCATCTCCAAATTCGAAGTTGAGTCATAGCAGCAAGCAGCAGAGCAGCAAATTGGGCAAGAGATGTATTCGCTCTGCTTTCGCTAAGAGTGTGGAGATTTACGTATGAGTGTGAGCAACTGTAATTAATGAATTAACACCAACACTTAATTATTTTAATAGCCGCAACGCAGCGTAGAGCTCGTACCTGCCGAGTTTTTTGAACCTCGGGCGGCGTTTTGCCTAATCGCAGCTCCAGTAAAGAAGTAAGTGCGTGTGTGTGTGCGTGTGTGTGTGTGTGTGTGCGTGTGTGTGCCCGTGCCCGGCAGCTGAGTGTTGCGTACAATTTAAGAGTTTAAATTTTAATTTCGGTTTCGGTTTGGTTTCATTTGGCTGAGCGAGAGCAAAAGTGAATGAAACTGATTGCTGATTAGTTTAAGCCCATGGCGAGCTGTGATAATTGGAAATGCAGAAGCTTGTAGCTAGTGGTTGGGATATGGATGACCCGTTGTTGGCCCTTAGCCTCATAATTCCATAATCATTATCAACGGTTAATGGTTGCACAGACACAGACCGATCTTTCCCCACTTTCGTTGTGGCACAGTAAAAGTTGAGGGTATATAAAACTCAGTTCAAGGCATAGTCAGGCATCAAACATAGTTTAGCTCTTAGGCTTTAAACAACAATAAACCAAAAAACCCCATAGAACTCCAAGCCAGGCAAAAATGTTCAAAATCGTAAGTTGTTGGAGTGTGGAAGGATAACAATGGCAAGTGGATAACAATGCCAATCATATCTGTGTTTCCTTTTGCATTTGCAGCAACTCGTCGTACTTGTTGCTGCCGTCTTTGTGGGCGCCGTGCAGTCTGCGCCGTCGGATTCGGCCGATGCGCACGCCGAGATTCGCAGCTATGTGAACGAACTGAAGCAGGATGACAACAGCTACAAGTACCAGTTCGAGACGAGCAACGGCATAGCACAGCAGGAGCAGGGTGTGGGTGGATATTATGCCAGCGGCTCATCGCAGTACTATACACCGGATGGCCAACTCATCCAATTGACGTATACGGCTGATGAGAACGGATTCCAACCACAGGGCGAGCATTTGCCTACACCCCATCCCATTCCAGAGGCCATTATCAAGTCATTGGAATGGAATCGCGAGCATCCAGAGGAGGAGAACGAGGGACAATACAATCATGGCCATGGCGGCAATGGCTATGGCGAGCAGGCCAATCAATTCCTGCAGGCGCCGGCATCTGGTCTGCCATACGAGAAGAAGATTTAAATTACTTCACTGCACAGCCACTGCAGCAGTAGCAGCAGCAGCAGCAGCAACAGCAACAGCTGCTGCTCTTGCGGTGGCCCTTTGCCCCGCGTTAGCTTGTTCGTTCATCTTGTAGTTTAAGTCCAGTCAACTCCGCCCTCAGCTCTCCGCATCAGCTTGTGTGTTCATTCATGTTCGTGTTTTTGCATATGCTTATTGCATGGCCGAGACAACAAACATGAGCAAACAGTCAGCGACAACAACATTGGCTCAGTGTAGCTGACTCCGGTTCTGAAGCTGGAGCTGCCGCTGCCGCTGGAGCCAAGGGATGTCAACGCCAACGCATATACCCCTCACTGTTCACATGCATACTGCTCATACACATACGCACTGTACATACATATACATCTATATAGACACCCACTCACACACACTCAGCGGTCCGCTCCTGGGCGCTGTGTCCTTTGTCGGCTCGCTGACGTTGACATTTATTGCCAGAGATAATAATAATGTAATAAAAGAAAAAAATACAATTTAATATTGTTGTTTATACTATGTACAAATGGCGTTGCTTTTACCCAACTACCTCGCCATACCGTGGCCATATGGCTGCCTACTCTATAGCACCACAGCAGCAGCAGCAGCAGCAGCAGCAGCAGTTGGCCTTATCATAAATCCTGCTTTTACAAGGAGCTTTAACTTTAGGTGTATTTCGAGCAGTCCATCGGCACTTGCATCAGTTTTGGGCACACGAAATTAAATTTTAATAAATGCGTTTCCTATTGTCATCGTTGCTGTTGCGGCTGTGCTTATGCTAATTAGCGTTTGGAGCTACATCTGTTTGGATTGCCGCATTTCGATTAATGCAGAAACATTCACCTTGTAACTGATGTTCGTTCATCTCGGCGTTTTGATTAACATACTTATTTATGTGGCAGTTGCTCTGCTGTTGTCTCTTGTAGCTTTTGCAGTGTTTGCACCAGCATTTGATAAGCTACCTTCGAGATTTGGTCAGCAACAGCAAAGAAAGAGTATGGCGGTGCTTTGAACTTGGTCATCAACTCAGACAAGACAAAGGTGATTGCAATCAAGATTAATATGTACAGTACACTCGTGTCAAAATCATTTGAAGACAAGCGCAAAGTATTTTCCAAATACATCTAAATTAAAGATGCATCTTGACAAATCTCCAGTTAGCGTATAATCGAGTCGATGTAGCTGCTTGGCTCTAAGCATGTCACTAAGCATATTTAAGTGGGCTACTCGGCCTGATCAATTTGCATATTGAATTTTTATTGTTAATAGTGAAATCTTACAACTTCGAATGCTATATAAGTTGAGGGCATGAATGCAGAGCTCACAAAGCAACTAACGTCCACAGACTGCACAATGTACAAGCTTGTAAGTAGCCGGATCAATGTAGTTGGGAGTATCCATTTGAATTGTGATTTGTTTGGTTAAAGTTCATCCTCGCTGCACTTGTGGCCTGCGCCGTCGCCGCCCCGCGTCCAATTGGTGAAGACGCTCAAGTTGTCAGATACGATATACAAGCCGAAACGGATGGATCCTTCAGTAGCAACGTGGAGTTGACCGATGGCACGATTTTATCGCAGGAAGGCCAGGGTGGAGTTTATGCAAAGGGACTCGTTTCTTATACATCCCCCGAAGGCATTCCAATTCAATTGACCTATGTGGCCGATGAGAATGGGTACCAGCCTCAGTCAGATGTGCTGCCCATTGCACCCCCAATCCCTGAAGATATTGCAAAGTCGATTCGATACATCCAGGAACATCCCACGCCGGAAGAGTTGGCCGATCGTGAGGTGCGCGCTCGCCAATTTTAAACAAGTCGCCAATTAGAACTCGGCTTTATCACTACCATATAATTGAAAGATGTACAAATAAATTATCGCACCTAATCGCGAAATTTAACGATTAGATGATCCAAATAGAAATGTTTTCCTGCCAATTCATTATCAGTCACGCGAAACTTAATTAGTGTTGTTACCGTGCTAATAACAGACGTGAAACCAGACAGAGCAGTTCATAGATGAAGCCTAGCCTTGTGTGTCGCCAACGAAGAGCATTCCAGCTGAGTGAGACCTGTCTGAAATGGAAAGCCATATTACTATATATAGATAGACTTTAGTTAGAGACTACTGTACGCTATGTGCCAGCACTTGCAGCCGATTGGCGTGTATGCGAGTTAAAGTTCAGCTTAAGTTTGGCTGCTAGCTTTTGCAGCTGTTTGGGAAGATTGAAATTCATCAAGAACCCGAGAGGAAACTGTACACACGCATACACACCGACAATGCACGCAACGAGTTGTGGCAATGGGAATACGTTAACAGGCTCCCCATATCAATTAGACATGCTCTGTGGCGGATATGAGTAGTTAATTAAAAAGATTAAGGCGCATGAGGAAATTAAGTAAATGTGCGCAAGTTGTATTATAATATCATTTATATATTGCTGGGGGTGTTATTTACAATTCGTATAAATAAATACTCGTGAATATATTAGGCACATGTGAAGTGCATGCCACGCGTGCTCAATTTATAATTAATTCAAACATTGGCTTGATTTTTTTGCATAAATATTTTTAACGCTTGCCAACACTTATGCAAAATGCTGTCCAGGACGCCGGAAACGAAAGGTAAACACAATCGCTCTTTAAATGATTCGCACGCCCCCATACGCCCCCAGCCCTACACAGGTGGTCGCGCTTGAGTGCTGATGCTGCCGTTTGTCGTTTGTCGTTTGCCGTTTGCCGTTTGCCGTTTGTCGCTTGACTCCCTGACAAAACAAAGTCTGCTGTGTAATCAAAAACTTCTATTTAACATTTTATTTTATTTTCAACTTGATGATAAATGTTTTGTTGAAATGTGGGCCCTATCTGGACGACAGAAGCGTTCCTAATTTCCAATGCTGGGCAGAGTTATCCGCATCGCCAGGCCAGGAAGTGAATAAATTTCAAAATAGACAGCACGTCTCGGCTCCCGTCCGTTGTTATATCAACATACGCATATATTCATTATTTTAATTTTTGATTGTATATTGTCTGCATTCTAACATAATTCAATTTATGCTTGCAGGCGTCAGTAGCTGTCAAAACAAACGCGTTTTCTTCGGTATTGGGCGTATTTCATAAAGCTCTGTTTAAATATAGCTGCAATATGAACCGGTTTCAGCCAGAAATTTCATTTAGTTTTAGCATAAATCAAGCCCGAAAGAAATCGAGTTGGTTCGCCAACGCAATAATCCAGCAGAAAACTAAAAGTTTTTCTACAAAAATTGGTTTTAAATAAAAAACAACGAAGTTGGCCATCAATGGCAATCAGGTATGGGCAATAAAATAACTTAATTGAAGCGGTTTTGCTAGATTAGCCTGAAGTGTGTTCGATGCTCAACAAAATGCGTATTTTACTATCAACTTTAACAATTGTTGCTTTTGTTCTGCTATGCCCGACATCCAACCGACTGTGACTCATAAAGTTTCAACATTTAGCACCAGGAACAGAGCCGCAGTTACACAAAGAGACAGTAGTCACAGAGCTCGGCAGCTGGGTAGCTGGGTTGAGCCTTTGGGGGGCTATTGTAATGCAAACAGATCTCTTTCGTTCTCTGAAGTGGCCACCATTTGTATTTGCCAACATGGCGTATGGAACCCCAAATGTTCATATTTAAAAAATAGCTTTGTTTTGTCACTGTTCGCTAGATTCCGGTCTGGACGGACTAGGGTATGGCAATATACGGGTAATAGCACGTGTCACGTAGCCGGAAAAATATGCGAGCGAATGCCCGAAAATAATACGGCACAAACACTACTCGGAAGTGGATGGCAAAAATGGTAGGCAAAGCACAAGCATTTCAATTAAGCTAAAAGTGGATCTAGGAGGGAGGACGACAATGACAAGCCAAAGGGTTTTGGGGTAAAAGGGTGTTTTTTTTTTCATTTTTTTTCTTTATTACTCTCGTAATCAAGCCGTAATCTTTAGCATTTCAGTTGAAATGAAATTTCCGAAACGCTTAAAGTAGCCGGACATGAGGTTCGAGTGGGAAAACTGTTTGTGACGCTCAACCCCATCACATTTCATTCGGGATGCAATTTTTCTAGTTGTTGAGTCGAGAAATGCGCTGGCTATATTAATAACAATAGCTGCTGCCGCACAGCAGCCGGAGGCGGTGACAGCCAATGTAGTGCAAGGGCGATCAAATGAAAAATAATCTCAAACAATAATTGCTATAGGAAAGTTTTCGGCTAGCCAAGCCAAGCCAAGTCAAGGCGGGTAGTGCGATAGCTGTCCCGGTCGACAGTAAAATAGCAGCGCAGACAAACGAAACCAATTTATTTTAAAAGTAAAAATCAACAGCCAAGAACCAACAAACGAATGTTCGGTGTCCCGCACCACCTACGTCTCACCATTAAAAAGCTGAGCTGTGAGTGGGCCACGACACCACTGAAAAGTGTAAACCAACAGCCACATGTGAACGCGAACCGGTCTGAAGATGCCGCTTAATCGACACCTGCCCATTTCAGTGGTTCCATGAAGAGTCGTTGCGTCTGCTTGTTGTCCGCAGCTACCGGGCGCGCTATTACACTTAACAACTCAACAATATAGAACCTTGATGGTACAAAATGCATTTGACAAGCCATGAAATTCAATAACTGCCACTGGCCGACAGTGTTTGTTCCTCTGGCTATCGGATTTCTCATATGCTGAGTGAGTGTCCGAGCGTGTGTGTGTGTGTGTGTGTGTGTGGTAGTTATTGTTATTTGTTTCATTTACTCACCGGAGAGCATTTACTGAATGGCATCTACTATTTGATTGCTCGCCTTCTCTGTTGTTAAATTATATATGACCAAGCGCATTCAGGATACATACGAATATACCTCTAGGTGGATACAGCAGCTGCTACGCTGTACTGCAATAAAAGTTGCTTCAAAATTGAACATTATTTTTCTTTGTTGTCGCCGGCGCATTTCCATATTTAATGCACAATGGAGGACTCACACACACGCACACACACACAGATACAAAAACTTCTTTTGCATTTCTATTGGCTTTGCAGCTCTAGCTTTTAACAGCCACTTAACATTCGCTGTTAAGCCTAACAGCGCTCAGGAATCGCGCCTTTTAACGGTACATCAGGGCGCTCGTGGCGCTCAGTTCGCGTTCGTTGGCTGCTCGTGGCTGGCGTTTAGTCGCATCGTCTATGTTTCGTTCGTCCACTTCCGGAGCCACGTTCTTTGTGTACGTAAATATTTATGTTTGATAAGCTCATGTGCGTCCTGTTTGGCTATCTGTATCATTGTGTATATTTTTGGCGCCTTTGCGCGAGTGTGTATGTGTGTATGTGTGTGTGGCTGTGTGTGTTTGTGTATGAAACTACATTAAAAAGTTCACACACAAATTGCATTATTTCCGCGCAGCGATATATTGGCGCGCTTGTTTGTGTGTTGCTTTTGTTGCTATTGTTGTTGTTGTTGTTGTCGTTGTTGTTGTTGTTGGCAACTCGAAATGCTTTGGGGCCAGGCCACAGCGAACATAAAGTATGTACATATATGAGCGTTATAAATGCCTGTGGGTGTGCATACATTTTTTACTTACTTTAAATAAGTTTAAGACATTATCCGCTATTGTTGTACAGTTCGCATGGCGTGTTCAAGGATGTGCGTACGTATGCATATGTGTGTGTTATTAAAAAAGAAAAGGAAAGAATGAAAATTTCCATTAAAATTCTTGACAGTTGCGGTTGTTGCGATTTGGTCCGATTAGGCTTCGAGGGGCCACTTCAAGTCGATTGCTCGGCTTTGGGAGCCTTAACACCTGGCTTGGCCTGAGGTGACGGCAAATTAGTTGAAAGCACGCTGATTTACAGCAAGTTTAGCCGCATTAGGGCATTAGCCCCGGGCCACATCCTGCTGCTGATGCTGATGCTGATGCTGATGCTAATGCTTATGCCGCAGCCACAGTTGGGCCATGTTGCCACATTGGTAATGTGATTTTTTGAGCACTTTTGTTCACGCCCGGCGACACATGTTGTGGTTCACACACACACACTCGAACGCTCACACAAACTTGAGGGTCTACCATGCCCGTGGGCGGTATTTACATGTTCCGACCCCGTTCAGGCTGAAACGCTTAGCTTGGCTGCCAAGTTTGTGCTGCAACTTTCCTGACAAGAAATATATACACATGTGAGTGTGTATGTGTTTGCGTGTGTGTGTTTGTTTAGCATGTGACTCTATTTAAATGGCCCTTACTAATAATGACCTTAAATTATACAGCTGGACACCTAACTTTTGTGGCCCCAAGCCAATTTAATCGATATATGGACAGACGCCAACAGTTAGTTGACGCTGGGACGTACGTAGTTATATGTAAATATTTGATGGCCCCTTGGGTCAGCTAGCCGTGACTTGGCTGCCATTCACGACACGCTTGATCTGAAGCTCAGTCAGTCAGTCACAATTTGGGGCTTTAGGCCTTTCCGACGATGTCCACTGCTCAGTGAACAGTCCGGGCCATTACGATGATGACGGGCGTGTCGGCTCAGTTCCGGCTAGTACCCCCATTAAATCTGAGCGCCGTCAATCCATCTGAATCAGCGTAAGAGTGGCAGTGTGCTGGTCAAGTACCGTTGCGGCGACAATTAATTAAAACTAATTGAGTTTTGGCCAATGCTCTAGCCCTGACCGACCGTCCGACTGTCCAACTCAGCGGCTGACTGGCTGACTAATTGACTGCAAGTTGGCAGCTTGAGGTTGAGCTCTGCCCGCTTTTACAATAAATTGTCATTTCATTAGTTTCCATTACGCGCCGCGCCACCCACGCGGCGTTATTAATGAAATAGGCGCTTATTTACCTGCTGCCGTGTTGTGCCGCTTGATAATTTTCACTTTTATTGGCATTTAATTAATGCGAAATTGTTTCAGATTATGAATACTCGTCAGCATCTCTGGCGAGGCAATTAATTTGATTACAAAACGTTTAACGGGCTCTGCATGCTAATGAGATCTTCGGAGCCAACGCTTAGTTGGCAGGCTGATGCTGAGAGATTGCAGTGTCACACGTATATTTGCTTTTTCAGCTCTAATAGAACGCACTTCGTTCACTCAGCTAGTCAGTCAGTCAGTCAGTCAGTCATGCCTGGGGGAGGCACAGTTGCGCCTGCTGCTTTGTGTGTTGGCTGCTTTTTCATTTCAATTGAAGTGATGCTATCAAGTCGAGCTTGTTGCCTGTCTTTTATCCCGTTAGCGCTTGCCTGATATTGGCTTGTATGCACGGCAATTGTCTGCTCTACAGGTATGTATCCGTGTCTGTGTCTGTGTGTACACACCAAAGGCTATTCAACACACTTTCACAGCAAAACAGTTGCATTCATCAGTTACCATGTTCAGTTCATTGACTGACTTTGTATCCCAGCCACACTTTTGTATCCTCGAACAATGCTCACCATGTTAGTGTGCGTGTGTGTGTGTGTGTGTGTGTGTTTCCTAGCGAATTCCAGTACACAAATATTGACATGGTCCAAAGACATACACAAACAAGCACACACAGACACTGTCACCCCTCATCACTCACTCTTATTGACGGTTATTGGTTATTGATATGAAATCTGATTATCTTTTGCTTTCTCCGCTTTTATGCAACTTAGCGTACGTCTTATTTGCATGTGCAGCCAAGCGTGCCAGCTGAAAGCAGAAACTCCAATATCGTAAACTGAATTTAAACTAGTCGAGGGATCTGTGGAGTTAGGAATTATATCGAATATTTATAATCAAGCTTCCTATTCTATAATACCCAACAGCTGTGCCGTAATCATTATAAATTAAAAGTAACATAAGTAAGTCTCGAAAATCTCCATACATGAAGTCTCTCTGGGAGAATTGCTCATTTTGTTAAGTTCGTAAGCGTTGGCTCCCACACGAGCAGCTACTTATTGGGGTAGCAATTTGAGCTTAGCTTACATACATCTAGTCGTTGGGCTTGGCATTTATCTGGCAACCTGCAAGATATTAATGTCAACAGCACAGCCTGGGATTTGCGGCATTTGAGTGAAGCCGCAGTGGCGACCACAGACCGTGGGCGGCAGTCAAAGGCCGCCACGACATTTAAGCCCACCCGAGGAGCAGTCTACAGTCATTGGCTTTTGGATATTATGTAGATGCTTTATTTTCATAATTGTCAACATCTTAGCATTTCATTAAAGAGCCCTCTCGGGGTCTTAGCCTTGCCAGCGGGCGCGTCGCTAGGATGCTTCCAGCAAGTGAGTTCGTGGTGGCAACAAATGATTTGGTAATCATACAAAATGATTTTAAAATCAACAGCTTATTTGCGATGCCAAAGACATGCGAATGCTTGACTTAGGCGCCATCTCTTACCATTTCTTAATTGTGTGTACATACGGGTCTGTGCGACTGACAGTGTGTGTGTTGCCTGATATTTCTATGACTGCAAGCAGAGAGAGAAAGAGAGAGAGAGAGAGTGCTGATATGGAATACAACTTGACTTTTGTTTTGTTTGCTTAACTTCATGTCAAGTTAGGCACTTACATACGTACTTACGACAACAGCTCGAACTCGAACTTGAACTCGAACTCGAACTCGCACTGTTAACTCTGCTGTTAACGTTAACAGGCATTAACAGTCGCTCTTGCTGTTAGGGTCTGCGCAGGCGCGAAACCTTCGTCAATTGAATTTCATAGCAATTTCCGTGCGATGGCTGCAATACGTTTCAGATAAGGGTTCGTCGGCTTCTGGTTAGGACACTTCATGCCGTTCACGGCAATTTAAATCTGAATTGACGGCGTACTTAAAGGCGTGCTCAGTACGTATTACGCGCAAGCAAAACAAACTCTGAGCCGGCCAGCAGGACAACGACTTGGCATGCGTTTAGCCATTGATGTGTTTCGCCTAAATGCTGATGGCTCCCAAATAAGACTTCGATAGTGTGCATTAGTGTGTGTGCGTTGTATTGTGTTTGTGTATTTGTGCGATTCGCATAATGTACTAAGTGTCAGCAATAGAAGAAATATACATTATAATTGTACAGGACAAGCAATTTGGATGGTGTCCAGCACAGCACAGGTGAGCCGCAATTTGTGCTTCACATAATGGAATACATTGTTATCGACAGATAGGCAGCATTATTCCTATCGCCCTGATGTGACAACGCCTAATGCAATTTGGGACTATTTTATTTTATTTATTATTTGATTTGTTGGTCGCCTTTGGCTGCTGACGCCGGTCAGCACCGGCGGCTCCCTAGCTACCAGCATTTATTTTATATTTATTTTATTTTATTTTATTTTTGTACTTTTTGTTTTATTTTTTTGGATGTCGTGACCAGCCCTCGTCCACTTGGCCTATAAAAACCCCGAGCATTGGGTTACCCACTTAAACACTCAATATTTTATGGCCCAACTCTTGAGTGCAGAACGCTGTGGCTTTTGTCTCTTACATTTCGCTTACTTTTATAGTTGAACTTTAATCGAGGCACTTGGAATTCCAGCAGCGACCACTCCGTCCTCAGCGATGTTTTCTTTCCCCCAAGTAATAACTGGAGTCGCAACCAAAAAGCAAGTTTGTCAACGTTAAAAGCTCGTAATATTTAACTGATTAAGTTGCTAAAAAAAAGGAAAATAAAGCGTGCTCTGCAAAATCAGTGGAAAAAACAAACACACGACTGCACAGCAGAGCGAAAAGGGAAACTCGTACGTTTTTCAACGAGTATGTAAATATGTGCTCAAGTATTAGACGCGTTCTGTGCTCTGCACACTTTGCTTATCTAAATTGTTTTATGTCACAGTCCTCCACTTGTTGGGGCCCAGACTATTAAGCAACATCAACTCATACACATACAGAAGCAGAAACATACACTCTCCCTCACACACACACACACTCACATACAGACACGCATAAATATATCATAGATAATTTTTCAATGTCATTTGAAAGCATCAAAAATTTGACATTAGCCATTAATAAATTAGCAAGCATTTTGAATTTCTGTCTGCTAATTGAATGTGAGCGAGGGCTGAGCTTTTGATGTCCCGCCTGTGATATTTCAGCACCACAAATCAAATGTCGCCCAGCTCCGCAAATCAGAAGCATAAAGCAGCAGCTGTGCCGTCGCCCGAAGTAATTTTATACGTAGCTTAACCTTTAACGCCAGCGCAATCCTTTGTTTCCGCCGACGGGTCGCCTTTTCACCGCCTTTCACACATCTTTTGGCGAGATGCTGCGGAG